TCCCAAAATCAAAAAAAATTAATATAAAACAATATTAATGTTCTAAAAAATAGAACAATCTTAATTAAAATAAAAATATTTAAAATGTAAAATACAAACAAAAATTTCAAACAAATAAACAAATAATTTTTAACAGCAATACTTTTTAAATTGTTAAGTATAATAATACATATAGTTAAAATAAAGTGTATATTCAACAACATTTTATCATTGAAAATATCATTTCAATATTAACTCAATATTAATTAATATTGAATAAGGTACATTATTTGAATTGACAATAATATTACATATCTCAACTATTTCACCTTAACAAAATAAATAAAACTCTTCAGTTAAGGAAATGAGACTGCATTAAAAGCACATGCCTCTTCACATGCGTGACACTCAATACAATCGTCTGGTCTTGCAACAAACGATTTGTTGTTTTGCAGCTCGAGGACGTTAGCAGGACATGCTGATACACAAGCACCGCATCCAGTACAGTTGTCTACGTTAATTGTTGGTGGCATTTGGTGAATATCAGTTTTCATATTTTGTTTATATAGCCCAATTAAATACAAACAATAAATGACATAATTAAGTGAAAAAAGAACATCTGGTGATTTTTTGTGATTAATTCTATTCATAATTATTTCATTTTTATTTAAATGGTTTTAATTAAATATATAAATGTTATAATTTTAACTGTTAATGGTATTGTATAGTTTTAAAAATTACAACACGGCAATAGAGTTGGTAGTTGATGGCAAATAAATACAAATGATTATTTATTTTTAATATTCACATCATTATCATCATCAAAAATGTAATTTTATTTTTTATTCAATTAAAATTTGATCACTTATTTTACATCACAAATTTTTTTATATTTTAATATGTGCCAGAAATAGTTTGACATGTTTATTATAATTTTAATCATTTAATAAAATAAAACATGTATTAAAATAATAAGAGGTTTTTTACACAAATCAACTATATACATAGATTTATTTTCATTCGAAATTTTATGAGTAATAATATTATTGCCAATATTTAATTGAACAATATTATGTTTTTCGTTGTATATATATATATATATATAATGTTAAGTTTGATTATATTGTAACTATACTTATACAATAAAGCAAAATGATATAAATCTCAACAACATTATAATAATTATCTATTTAAATGTAAAATAGACATCTTGGACAAAAACGGAAACATAAACATTGTTTTTCATTTGAGGCCTAATTTCAAATCTTGCAGTTGTAATTTTTCTTTTTAATTCAGATTTCATAAAAAGATTTCAAATCATTTGTTGACAATCTTAATAAAACAACTAAAATGCATTTGCCGGGACTCGAACCCGGATCTCCATATTGGAAGGGTGGAATTTTGCCCTCAGACTACAAATACTTTTTTATTTTATAATTAATGTGACATATTTATATATTATCACATTACAAACATGTTTGTTTTTTTTAAATGTTTTGTTAAAATAAAATAGTTAATATTTTTAAACCTCCCAAAATTATAATAATAATAATTATTGTTGTGTCAAGAGTAGGCTTTTTGAAAACAATAAATAAATAAAAATACTTTATTAATTGGTTTTAGATGTTTGATTTGAAATATATATATATCATGTTAAAAACCTTTTTAGATTTATAATTCTTGAAAAAATTGACACTTTTTATAATTCACGTTTTGTTCAAAGTTTTTATAACGATACATCATTTAACAAATAATAATAAAATAACCTTGATGTAATTTTTTAAATTCACAAAAAAAAATTAAAATAATATCAACGTTTTTAAACACCATTTTGTAAATGCCAACGTCATTTTAACATTAAAAATAACAATTTCATTTTTATTATTATTTTGTTAATTAATAACAAGATTCTTTGTTCTGTAAATGTCTGATGCTGTGATTTTCAATCACAGAAGAAAAAACCATCAAAATAAAATGGTTTTGTATAGTAAAAAATGAGATTAATATTAGTTTCGATTATTATTTATTTTTCTTATAAATATAAAACTTGTATTCTAAAATAATAAATGAGTCAAATAGACTGTTGTAATATGATGATTGTTTCACAATTTTTCAAGTCTCTAAATGACTTTATCCACATCGAATTTGTATGTAAAAAGTACAAAGAGAATTTATCCAAATTTCACTACAACCCGATTCCTATAACTCGAAAAACTCAAAAATACTTTCCAAATTTGGAAACCCTACATTTATATTCTAAATATTCTTCAAAACTTTCTTTCAAAAAATTGTATTCTGTTGTTGTTCATTTTAATGTGAAATTTGATGACATTCAAAAATTACATATTAAGAATTGTCCAGTCGAAAACGTTCTTTATAAAAATATTGAAATAACACGAAAATATATAAAATCTCAACAATTACCACCAGAAGCATTTTTTAATGTATCACACGACATATATTATATAAATCTAACCAACTTTGTCGTTCATCAAAAAGTTCTTTCTGTTAATCGTTTTTCGTTTTCATATTGTGCGATGAATTCAATTCAATGACTGTTTCAGGTCGATCAACAAATACGCGTTTTATTGTGTGCGATTACTATCAAAAATCGAACTTCCAGAGAATATTACACAACTCAAAAGAAAGTGCTTTGGGCACTGCTTGTGTTTGAAAGATGTTGCAATTAAAAGTCGCGTGAAAGAACTTCCAATAGAAATGTTTTGTGGATGTAGTTGTTTGACTTTTATCAGTTTGCCTACAACACTCACTTGTATCAAGTGAGTGTTGTAGGAGAGAAAATGCTTTGAAGGTTGTTTTTGGTTGCCAAATATCGGTATTCCAGAAAACGTTGAAATTATAGGAGAAAGGTGTTTTAAAATGATATTTATCTTACTAATATTATACATGGAAATAAAATCAAATATATAGGAAAGGGAACATTTGATGGGTGTAAAAATTTAAATCATTTGGACTTGTTAAAAATATCAGACAAATAAAAATAATTTATAAATTATTTAATTTGGTTTTAATTTTAAATTTTTAGTTATAAAAATATAAAACACAAAATCATTAAACAACACAATCGACTTTTATTTTTTTATATACAACAAAAATAAACATATGCTAAAAACCATTTAAACATAAACATATTTTTAGTATAGAACAAATTTATTCAATTTATTTAATTAATTATATTTAAAAAATTATTTAAAACCATGAATGTGTTTGTTGTTAATTTAAGTTCCAACTAATTAAAAATATTATTAAAACTTAAGACAACAATATTTGATTATGAAACGACACGCATAGCATTGAATTTATAACTGACAATAAGTGATTATTTAGTGAGTTGTTTCTGATAACACGAGAACTCCAATTTTCATTTTACCAAATAATAACATTTAAATTAATAATACTATTTTTATTTAAAACATATTTAAACTGTATCAAATTGAATTGGTGTTTTAGTTTTTTTTGTTTTTTATAATAATTGTAATAAAAGTTTTTAAAGAAAATGTCACATTAACATCACATGATAAAACTGATTTGACTATGATTCTGGATTACTTTTCAATGTATTTATCCAATTTAAAACACACATAATATTTAAATATGTGTCGTTAATAAATGTTACCAATATCATAAAAACGAATAATAGAAAAAGACATTTTGAGTGTTTTGACAAGTGTGATGATGGGTATTATAGCGATGATTCAACCGCAACTTCACACATATGCAAGAAGTGTTTCCCAGAATGCCAGAATTGCACTGATGGAACCAAATGCACTACTTGTCCAGACACCAAACATCTGTTTGAAGACACTGGAAATGTGTTACAACCACCGAATGCCCATCTGGATACTTCAAAGATACAACAGCAGCAGCAACATGTAAGAAGTGCAAAACTGGAAGTAATTGTCTGACTTGTGAATCTGACACAAAGTGTTTGTCTTGTATTGATGGATTCTATTTGGCAGGTGAAGGAAAATGTTCTGCATGTAACACAATTGCTGGGTGTGGGAAATGCAAGTCGGCAAACGAGTGCACTGAATGCACAACTGACAATCTCCAACCAGACAAAACTTGCAAAAAGGATTGCCCAGAAGCGTACTTTGCAAATGATAAGGTGTGCACTGCATGTGTTGATGATTGCAAGACGTGCACCGAAGAAACTAAGTGCACTAATTGCAAAGAAGATGCGCTGATTGTTGAAGACACCAAAAAGTGTGTGAAAGGCAACTGTCCAGAAATGTATTTCAAAGATGGTGCTGAGAAGATGTGCAAGAGATGCACTGATGGTTGCAAAGTGTGCAGCAATGCAACTGACTGCCAAGAGTGTGTTTCACCAAAGATGTTGGAGGAGGGAACTATGAAGTGTGTTGAGAAATGTGGAGATGGGTTCTTCAATGTCGACAACAAAAAATGTGATATGTGCATGGCAAACTGCATGACGTGTGCAGCAAAGAAAAAGTGTGACAAGTGCAAAGACAACTATTTTATGTCCGATGACAAGTGTGTTGACATGTGTCCAGAAAAGTATTTTGAAAAAGAAGGAAAATGCGAGAAGTGCAAAAACACATACAACACGCCATGCAAACAAGGCGACACCGAATGCGAGGTTTGTATGAACAAAAGTGGGACATTGAAGGTGTTAGTTGTAGCTGTGGTGTTTGTCTTGATGATTGCCTTCTAAGTTACTTTTTGGTTGGTTTTAATTTGAATCTGTTTTTAACACTTGAAATGTGTTGGTGATTAATTTCATAGTTCTAATGAATTGTATAAATATAATATGTTATTAATTAATCGATTTAGTTTAATTTATTAATATTTAACTATCTAATTAATACTTATCAAACAGTTATATATTATATAGTATTTTTTTATTTAAAATAACTATAAATTGATATTATAAGTTGTAGTAAATTAAACTAATCAACAAAACTATAAATAAAAATGAACCCATAATTATTGAAAATGGCAACAATTATAAACATAAAGAATGAAAAAACAAGAATTAGACCGTACGACTAGGATCATTCTTAGAGTATGTCACTTTCTATCTAACAAATAGAATTCACAAAATAGGATGAAGACTTTCATCACTTCAGTGCCAAAGGGAGATACGCAGCAATGCATGATGAACTGCTTGTTGAGGGGTTGAGTGTGCACAACACTCTGAGATGAGAGGCACTGAAGTCTGTCTGACTATTTTTTGTGTATTTCAATTTTATATTATAAATTATAATTAATAGTATA